GCCTCTCTGAGGGAAGGGGGGGGGGGCAGGTTCTGGCTCGTGGTCTCCAGCAGGCATTCAGAACTCCCGTGACTGATGACACCAAGTTAATTGGAAGCATGTCAATTTGGATAGCTTCAGGGAGCCTCAGGGGCTCATCCAGAAAATGGTGTTTCATTACATTCAATGCTACTTTTTTCCAAAGGTGGCTGTTTCTTTGATGCTGTCAGCTATGGCAGCTGTATTCTAACTCCTCGGCTTCTTTTGCAGGTGATATTTCTGGGTCAGAGAATCGCAGGTCAGCCTGTGATTGAACGGGTTAGGCCTCCTGTGGCATCCAATTCTTGGGCCTCTGCACTTTCTCTGGTTCTTATCTCTTCTAGTTGGCAATGTTCTCTGGCATCACAGAAAAGTGCTTCTGTTTGGGGATTTTTGTGCCAGTCCTTTTGGGGTTCATCCCTTTGATGGTGATGCGAGGGAATGTCTCGCACATTTTGTCAGTTTTGGTCCCACGATGATTTCTAGATTTTCCCACGGAACATAACCGCAGATATTAATACCAAGTAAAATACCCAGCCCTTCCACAAATACGATAACATCTTTTTGTTTGCTAACATATAAGGCAGGAAAATATGCAAAACAAAGTCCAATTTCTAACTGGTCTCCTAAATGAGATAAATGCAGTGTCTGCTTATTTTACTGAAACTCGCACAAAGGACTATTATGACAATGAGATATGGATACCAGAATTCCATCTTTTCAAGTGTGACAGAAAACATGCTACAGGGTGGGGTCAGCCTGTACATAAGACACACACACCTGCACACAGCTGCTGAGCACCACAAATGATATGGTGGAAGTGCTGATACTCAAAATAGAAATTTTAAATGTGATGTCCTTCTATATAAATCTCCAGATGCAAATTATCAGCAGTTTAGAGACCAACTTACAAAAATAGAATACTGCTTAGAAAACCTCTCACACCCTGCCCCAATCATCATCCTGCTTGGTGACTTAAACTAACAGCATCTAAAATATAAAAATGTGGCAAACAATTACACTAGAGGAAATCCCAGTAAACCGTTTTAAGTGAACAGTTACACACAGGTGACTTGCAGACATGTGACAAATTTGCCTTAGACATGCAAATAGTAGAATCAACTATGAAAGAAAATGCCATAGATCTTAGTTTTACAGACAATGATGAACTCATTAGGGACACAATGATTACAAATACTTGTTACTCAGATCACAACCTAATTGAAGTTCAGACAAACATGGACAATAAACCTGTGTACCCAGTCTCAAGTCCAAGAGGAGGAGAATTCAGCAAATTCAATTTCAATAAACGGATTAACTGGGAACAAATAAATAATAATAATAATTTATTTAGGAAAAGTACATATATAGTTGCAGAGTTACAGTGCAAACATTCTGTTTGATTTAAAGATAGAGGTAGTACATACAATACCTAAAGCCACTAGTACGTATAGCGTTTTGGGCAAAGGCCTCACAGGGCAAAGGCAAAGGCCTCAAAGGCAAAGGCTTTCGGGCGAAGGCTTCACATAAAGGCCTCACAGAAATATGCTGGGAAAGACAGCTAGATAATGCAAACTTAAACAAGTGCATTGAGAAAATAGGCCCAGTGGCACTAGAAATGTCACATACCTAGTGACTTGCCCACTAGGTATGGGCAAGTCACATACCACTAAGGAGAAAGAAAAAGATGCAAACTAGAATGAAAATGGATCCCTGAAGCTAACTACCCACCCATTTATGTACAAGTGGATTATGGTGTGGGTCCCCTCCCCGGGACCGTTCGGTGTCCCGAAGTCGGTTCCATCCTTCCTGTGGGTATTTTTACCCACTTATCAACATTATTCTCTAGGACATGTACTCTTTCTAAATCATATCACAGTCATGTCAGATTCATATCTGCATCACTTCAGATTCATTATATCCTACGTTAACTGGATCCTGCTTGACCATTGGTCACGTAGGCTAATGGCTCCATATGAGCCTATGTGATTTTGTGTTTGATTATCAAGGTTCGAGAAGAATTTCGTTAATTAAAGAACTATTGGAATATCTGTCAATTTCCGGTGAGGATTGCCTCCGATCCTTTATTGGTATCGAAGTGACTCTTCAGTACTACTTATAGTCTTTAAGTACTATATCTATTTATATTATATTTACATCTTATCTCGATAATCGGTTTCGACAATAAAAATAATCAATGAATAAACATTGTAGGGTACCCTCCCCGAAAGATGGGAGGAGCCTGCTCTGACCTCAAGCATCCTGAGCATGGCCCGAGTGAGATCTTTTGTTTATGGACGGTGTTGGTGTTCTGCGACCTTTATCATGGATATTACGCTGCACTATTCTTATATCGCCAGTCATAGCTCCGTAGATACTGGGGTGGGGGGGTTCTGGACATTAAATATAGGGAAGATTCTTAGTACTTTTCTCTAAATAAAGGTGTAGAGTGGCTCAAAATAACGCCGTCTCCACCTCGACACCACACCTACTCTTATCCTACTGCACACACAACTAAGAACATATTCCACTAACAGTGCTCCCAGAATATTACACGGCAAAGCTGTGACAGAACACTATAGTGCCTACGCTCTACAAGAAAGATTGTACAATCTGGCGACACCGTCATCCAGGCGCTGGTTCTCGATTTTTTGGACGAGTGTTGGGTATCGTTTGTAGCATGTTGATCGGCCACTTCGCATGTCCATATATATATATATATATATATTGTTAATCGTTACACTGTGGGGCACAGCCTAAATCTTTTCTTGACTCTGAACACTCATTCATTGACAGTCATTCAATGCCTGACTGCACTCTTTTATATACATTGGCATCTCTCTGTATATTTCATTGCTCGTATACATCGAGTTACCAATTGCTAACCAAGTCATATTAGTTCCTCATATTGTATGCATCTAGATACCATTACTTGGACCATATTTAAGGTCCTTTAATTGCTTATTTACGTATTTCATACCTCTCTTGTTGTGTTTATTAGTTTGTGCATTTTGGCCATAATAATAATAATAATAATAATAATAATAATAATAATAGTGCTAGGCTAGACTATGTACATGTTTAGATCCCTGATCTTGAACAGAACCAGTGGTTAGTTCGAGACCTGAGTTATTTAATCTTCACCTTGTATAACAATATAAGCTGATGTGTTGAAATATCTGCAGGTGAATGTAGATTTCAAATCATACACTCCTGGTCCCCTACAGTTCATTGTCGTAAGGACTTATTTGTGTTAACTTTCATACAGTAAATATTTTATTTAGTGTCGTACATGTCCTAAGTAGTTCTCCTCATACATAATTTGGCGGTGTGTGCATCATCTGCACTGTTGCTGTTTTCGCCAATCCTGCGGGATGCAGTGTCACGGTTTTTCGCTTCATGTCTCGTGTGTCGGCTAGTGGTGCTCGCTTCCTCGTTGGCCTCTGCCTGGGCCATGGCTTTTAGGTTTTCGTCACCATTTTGTCCTTGCTGTTTGCGGAGTCTGTGGTTGGGCAGTTTCTGCAAATAAATACCCCAACCCATATCCACCATTGTGGGGAGGGTTAATTAGCCATAATTACAAAAATCTCTCAAAATATCGATAACATTTATCAAGTGTGGTCAGTTCTAGGGCAGTCGACATATATTTATCGAGTTCTGATATTCTAACTTCTGATAAATATTTATCTGACATGGATGTCGTCCTCGTAAACAGGAGAGATGGGTGGCGGGGCACAGAGATTTTCCATGAATTGAATGTTATCAATCTCTGTAGGAGACCTAACACACTAGTTAGTTGGTTTCTGCAAATAAAAACCAAGTGATATGCCTTGTTGTATATGCCTTGCACAGTTTAAGGGTTAAGATGGCTCCCTAGACCCTCCCTCCCTCCCTCCCTCCCTTTCAGGAGCTTCAGTTAGCCTTGATTTGGTTCATGATTAAGGGGGCACACATCTGAGCCAACAGCTCCTGGTGTTTCCATCTGGTGTACAGTACAGTGCTTGCCTATCAGTGTTTACAGGGTGGGGGTGTATCTAATTCTAGATACAAACCTACTACCCTTGTACCTGTTGCATTATAATTTAACTATTCTGACTTTCAAATTCTTCATGAAAATCTGGCCCTAAAGTTGTGAAAGGTGGGAGCTTCCACAATTTTTTCTCGGTGCATTCCACTTGTTGACCATGAATGCAGGGTACAAGTATTTCCTTACATTCCTTTGGCTCATTTGTGTTTCCAGCTTCCACTTGTATTGTCTTGTCCAATTATCTTTCAATTTGAGGAGGCTGTCTGTATCCACCTTGCCTATACCTCTCAATACCTTGTATGTTGTGCAAAGGCATGCTATAAAATGGCTATCGAAACTGAAAAACAAAGAGTTACGAGGAGAGACTAGAGGTGTTAAAAGTGCCAAAACTAGAAGATAGAAGAAACAAAAAAAAAAGAGGCGATATGATCATCACTTACAAAATACTAACAGGAATTGACCAAATTGACAAACAGGAATTCCTGAAACCAGCAACTTCATCAACAAGAGGACACAGATTCAAGTTATGGAAATAAAGGTGCCAAAAAAATATTAGAAAGTTTTCTTTTGCAAACAGACGGTTGAAACAGAGAAGTGAGCTAAGTGAAAAGGTGGTGGAGGCCAAGACTGTCAGTAGTTTCATAGCGTTATATGACAAAGAGTGCTGGGAAGACGGGACACCACGAGCGTAGCTCTCATCCTGTAACTACACTTAGGTAATTACACTTAGGTAATTACATGCATGTGTATGCATGTGCGTGTGTCTCAACACTACAATATGTTCCCATCAACACTACTGCAAGATTAGAATATGTACCTCAAAACAGATCAGAAATAAAGACTACCATGTGATATTTTTCTTTTCCAGGTTTTACATTCATTATTTGGTTTATATGTTTTTTTATTTTAGTACAGCATCTAAGGAAGAAGAGTAATTTAATTTTTTTTTTTTCAGCCTGCATATGTGGTCCACATATTCCCACCCTGTGATTTTGCCAATGAAAACCTAGCCAGAATCTCGCCCGATCTCCTTCATCGTGTGGCTGAGATATCTTACCTCCTGGTTGTCATAGCTACATGCTGAGTTTATGATGACCCAAATTGGATTAAAAAGACACTCGATATATGGAAACCCACCTCCCGGCCTTGTCATAAACAATTAATGATGATATTGATCGACTCGTCAGCACCATTTGGTTTGCAGAGTTATTTGAAAGTTTTGATATGGAAGTATATATTATGTACCTGCATCATTACAAGCAACTACATCAAAGATCAGCAAATAAGCAGCATTACCAATATTTGGGAATGTTTATTATCTTTGTGCGAATTTAAATTGATAACCTATTTTTATGACAAACTGAAGCAAAGAGGAATGTTAAAAAGCTCAAATTACTATGCTTGATCTTTAGATCAAACAGTAAACATATGTAGTCCTTGTCCCCCCAAAATATTAAGTGAAATGATCCTCTGAGAATGGATTGAAATGTTACAAAAATAGCCGTGCCACTTCCATTCCTCTTGCTCTATGTAGTTGCTAAACTATGAAATCTTTAAAAAAAAAAAAAAAAACCAGTGTAAAAGCCTGAAATGTGACTTGTGAAACTTGAGAATTATGATCCAATATCTTGCCAATATAAATATATATGGGAGACTGTGAAATACACTAATGTATACTAAAATTAAACTGATGCTGTAAAATAAACTTATCAGCATCATGATATGTGATAAGAATTATTTATTATGTGCATATAGGATAGAAGTCAAAATGTCAATATGGCAGATTTAGTGCAGTGAAGGTGGATGGCAATTTGTACAAAGCATTAACATGAACTTGTTATGAAAGTGAAGTGAAGGATTGTGTTGTGAAGTGATGATATATATTCCAGATGTTTATAAAGACAACTTTGTCCTGACAGGATCTTTACATAGCAGCGCATTCAGGCTGATGCCTTATTCAAGGTGTGATCTATTAAAGCATTACTGACAAAATTCAGAAAAGCATTTACGAGACATTTAATGGAACTAGGTGTCATGTTAGAAGAATGTGGAAGTGATAAGTTTGTGTCACTGTTGTGTTTTGGATGTTTAATGTGTGCAGCTTGCAACATCCAGATGTTCCTGTAACCACAATGTATGTAATATATGAGCTGCTCACCACTTATCACAAAGCAGTGGTGGTGCCAAGTATGGTGCTGTGGCCTTGTCTGTCGTGCTGCACTACTGCTCCGGACAACATGCACCCAAGGACATACCAAATAAACTATATCATGACTAACTTCACAAGAGTGATGTATGAGTGTTGTGTAAATTGTGCAAGACACAAAGTTTGTGTGGCCTAACCAGCCCTGGGCCCAATGGTGCCCGTATGCCGCCTATGGTGTTTAGACAAGCTGTATAGTTGTACATACTCAGTCATTGTAAAGGAATTCTTTTTTACTGTTCATTTTGGTGGAATTGTACTTAAAGAAGCTGCCACAACCACCATCATGATAGGGAACTTACACACAGTTTGATCCACAAACACTGATGAAGCTGTGTGTGTACACCCAAATGTTGATTATGTGTGCACAGTGCACTCAGGGTGGCTGTGTGCAGCCCATTGTTATTGTGTGTACAGATCTTCGCATGAAGTCACCCTGATTTATTTATTACCAGTCATCATGTTCATCATGTATCATCTCTCTTGCATACTCCCCCTCATAAGCGATGCTCTGCCTCCTTGTTATTTACAAACAGATGCACACACACACACACACATCTCTATCACCACTTATTTGTGTCTCAAATATAAAGAAGCACCTTAATATACACTGTGTTTAACCTGCCCTACTCTATACCTAGTCTCCCCAACTTGCTTCTCCTCCTCTACTTTATGCCTATTGTCTTCCTTGCTCTTTTTCCCTACTCTATACGTAGTGTCTCCTTCTCCTGCTGCTTCTCCTCTTTGTGGCTCCTCAGCACAGCCCTCAGGAACCTTCTGCTATCTTGCTGCAGCACTTACTCTAAAACATTCTATATTTAATGTGTGTCTGCCTCTCTTAGATGCTTTTTCTCACTTTGTAATGTATGGTCTGCAATGACTCCGTGTCTTGCATATGTTGCATGTGTATTTTTCTAAAAAAAAAAAGAAATACACCAAACCCTTAGAATATTCCATTCCTTTTTATTTAAAAGCTTGCAAAATACCATCATGCAAATTAGGCCATCTCTCTCCTTCCCTTTTCAAAGCAGTTCTTTGTTCTTTGCTTGCCTGTCACACTTCTTTCTTGATTAAGGTGTCAGACAGATTCTCATAATATAAGAAGGCGCCTGATGCGGACTAGCCTGCCGCTGCTACGCCACTCTTCAATAGGTATTCAAAGGAAAAAAACCCACAAAACTATTTGGTCTAGAGTTGAAAAGCTTTCTTGTTTCTGCACTGTTTTCGGTTTCTCGGCAGAATTCACTCTATTGTATGTTTGCTCAAGAAGTTAGCGGAATTCTATTTTCACTTTTTATTAATATTATGTATAACATGTGGCAAATATATTTTTGATGTACAGTTTGAAAAATGTGAAAAAGTGTTTAAATGTAAGTGTACTTGTTAAGTGTTGCATAAGAGATATGAGGTGTGTCTGAGGCATTTGTAAATAGGTCTAAATAAACTTTTAGGCTGTGATCCTCAGTTCTCTAGAAGCTTCTTTGGTCAGAAAATTTATTAAAAAGTCCAGTGACCAATTTAAATTATTTCAAAACCCAATAAAGATCACAATGAAATATACAACTTATTTTTTTCTATCCTATACACCCTAGTGTCTGTCATTACTAATACTTATGGATGAAAACAAAATGTTGTTAAACATGTTTTGTCAAAATACATGAATGTTGGTTTCCCTGTGAATCTGCAGTAGGCATTGTGAAGGAGATGGTGCAAGCAAAGTTGCTTATTCAAATCCTGAAAATGAACCTCATTTAACTGTACAAAAACAAATTTTTTGCAATCTGGATTTATTAATGTCATTAATGAATTGGCCATCTTGTGTATCATTGCATTCATTCTCTGCTGGGTTCAATAAATATTTTAGCAAATATGTTACAATTTTCTCATGTATTTAAGCCTTGTACTGTGCAAGCATTTCAGGAGCCATTTGCAATGTGTGCCAGAAAAAAGTTTAGTATCGTTAAAATGTCTGCCTTAGTGTTCGCAAAAATGCTTTGAGTGTAAGTAATTATCAAAAGGTCTCGAGCCAGGAAGACTATGCAGCACCATTTGCTTCCCGAGATATTAAATTATCACTAGATGCCAATGTAAAAATAAGGGGACAAAAGGCGAGTGACATCAAAAGTATCAGATTCGTCAAGGATTCTATCAAGGGATTAATATAACATGTGCATTCGCAGAGCCAACAGTGTGTCTTTGTATGTGTAAATCATCAGGAATAATAAGGTCATTGGGACAACAAGATATTTAGGCCAAACAGATTATGGTATATAGCAGTGGTTGTAGGAAACAAATGGCCCACGGATTCCAAGTAAAGAGTGGATGGGGGCATAAGACGCAGCTGAAACCATCAAAGAAAGTCTCTCCAGGTGATAAGGTAGTCACCACTTGGGACTTTGAAGTCGACCATGTCAAGGAAGTGGCTGGAGAATGAAGAGGATCAGTACGAAGAACCAAAGACAAAGCCATATCTGAAACCACCATAGCCTGAGCTATGGACTACCTGATCTTCCATCACACTCCTACTCGGAGGGGCCTGGTATCCTACATAGTGACTCTGAGAAGGGATGTGTTCAGAAAATATGAAAATAAGCTGAAATTTACTTCACTGCCCTGCACCCCATTTCCATAGTGGACCAACCCACTATGGAACCCAACAACGGAAGGTACAAACACATAGGCAACTTCAAGGGTAACAAGAACACTATGCAGCCTGTTCTTGTGAGGATTCCGCTTTCCTAACGTTAGAAAACTGTTTTACTAAAGTGCCCTAACCTAACCAACCAGTGGATCCATGGACAAACTGGGACAGTGTCAATTTTACAAGCTGATGCTATTTTCTTATACATCAGTTTTTGGCCATGGGTAAAGTATGTCAAAATTCAACATGCTATACCAAGAACAGGTTGTTATATGTGGGTAACCATTGAAGGGTCTGAATAGTAGCGCAGAAACTGATAGGAAGTCCGTCCACAGAGCAAAGTCCATTACCATGAGAAACCAAACCCCACTCAAACTACCTGGATAGTTATCTACATATTTGTGATGGTCTGAAAGCATATTATTATAACAGTAATACTCTACATGTAAACTGGCAAGTGAACGTTTGTCCTTATCAGAGCGTATTCTCTTATTCTGAAAATCTTGCATTATAAATCGTTGGTTTAAAATAAAAAAATATATACAGAAAATGTTTTCTTTGACGAATTTGGTTTTCTGTAAATAGAATTCTCAGGTACATTGAAATAGTTTTCAAATTCCATACTTTTTATTTATTTATTTATTTATATATATATACAAAAGTTCTTACAATCTTGTACAGCCACTAGCACGCATAGCATTTCGGGCAAGTCCTTAAGCCTAGTTTTCACACACATCCCCAGGAAGCATCTTTTAGGAGCTGCATAACTTGCAGGTACCTATGTACTGCTAGGTGAACAGGAGCATCAGGGTGCAAGAAACTGCCCATTTGTTTCTGCCTCCGCTGGGAATCGATTCCGGACCCTTAGGACTACGAACATCGAGTGCTGTCCACTCAGCCGTCAGGTCCCCAACACATTAGAGGTCTGGCAGTTGAGCGGACAGCATGCAGGACTCGTAATTCTGTGGCCCGGGTTCGATTCCTGGACCAGGCAGAAATAAATTGGCAAAGTTTCTTTCACCCTGATAATCCTGTTACCTAGCAGTAAATAGGTACCTGGGAGTTAGACAGCTGTTTCCTGGGTGTGTGTGTGTACGCGCGTGTGAAAACAAAAAATTAGTTACAGTTAATTGATTGACAGTTGAGAGGCGGGCCGAAAGAGCAGAGCTCAATCCCCGCAAGAATAACAAGGTGAAAAAACTATATGAACTAGGTGAATACATTATATTTCACATTATCATCAATAATACATAGTATTAATGTAACCAAACGGAGTGAAACCTACCCAAACCTTAACCAAACCATGGATAGTGTGTAGATAATAACACTAATTATGTAGTCATTCTCAACCCATTTCTGTGAGCAAATTTCCTCCCTGGGACCAGTTGGGATATGGATACAAACCCTGCAAATACCCACTTTACCCAATGTCTAGCCAGACCAGACAATTGATGCCGATGGCACACATTGAATCTCTACTTTTACCTAGGAACAAAAATATTCTAGATCTAGTCTTCACAAAAGATGAAGACATAATCAGGGACATTACGATCTCAGATACCACATACTCAGATCACAAGCTCATTGAAGTGCAAACTAATATCAATATTCAGAATAGACTTAAACCAATGATCAAGCAAGAGGGGATTATTCATTAAATTCATTGTTAATAATAAAAGGATTGACTGGGAGAAAATAAACAGAGAACTTACAAACATTCCATTGGAAACTGTTCAAGTAATAAAAATCCAATACAAGGAATAGAAAACTGACTTCTGAAGCATATAAAGTCTGTCTGAAACATATGCCTTTGAGGAAAGTAAAAAAAAAAAAGATCCAACGTAGAAAGAGAACGCAGACGACACTACAAAAGGAGAAAAAACTATTACGGAAATGCTTAAACAGATGCGACTTTCTATACTAGGAAGGAATAATTTAAACTGGGAGATTGATGAAATCGAGCAGAGACTAAAGAATTGATATCATATTAAAGAAAGGCAACTAGGACAGAGAACAATTCAGTAAAAGAACACTGCTTTTTCCCCAAAAAAAAAGCGGTGGGTTTTCTGAGGGAAGAAAACATGGCCTCTGATTTGAAATACAAATCGGAGATGTTTCTGAAGAGGGGGACAAAGAAACAGTTGCGCAGTGCCTGGGGCCATATAAATTCCGGGGCAGAGAGGGGCTCCCTCTCTCTCCACCCGACCGTCGCAGTACTCGAAACTGCGCCGCGCTGCGCCTCAACGACACGTGGACCAGTACTCAGTCCTGCATTCATCAGTCTGTCGATACGGCAGGGGCCCCCTGCCCTACTCATCCTACTCTAAGGTAATGTAAAAATTTTCTGTTAAAGTTTAGTCAGGACTGTCCAGTGTCTGACGTGTGTTGGCGCCTTCCCCCCGCGATCCGTGTAGGCCGCCTTAGTTTCCTAGTGCCTTCTGCACGTTCGCCTGTCTTGAGGTATGCAGGCGCGCCTTTCAGTCTGTGCCAGGTGCTGCAGCGGCTGCTTTTTGCTGCTGCCGCAATGCCCCGGGTCGGCGTGTGTTTACGTCGTGTCCCGAGTGAACCGCCCTGGTAGTGTATTCTCCCAGGCGTGCACTATGGGCACTGGTCAGCTGTTACCTAGGCGTGCACCTAGGGGCCCCGGTTCGTGCCCCGCTCGGACGTGCGTGCCTGGCCGGGCCCCCTGCGAGCGGCCCGGCGTCGCCCTTGGAAGCGCCCCCACGTGGTCCTTTGCTGTGCTGTGGTCCTTTGCCAAGGGCCATGGTGCGTGCCGGGCCCGGGTGTGCGTGCACGGCGGGCTCCTTGTGAGCGGCCTGGCGGCCTCCAAAGGATACCTGATCAACCAGGCTGTGCCTCATACGTCAGGCTGCGAGGAGCCGCGTCCAACAGCCTGGTTGATCAGTCCAGCTACCAGGAGGCTTGGTCGACGACCGGGCCGCGGGGACGCTAAGCCCCGGAAGCACCTCAAGGTAGGCCCTTGGCGGGGGCGCCACGTGGTCAGGTTGCAGTGGTTCTATGTTCCTTGGGCCCGACCTTTGGGGCCCATGCCCGGTCGGTGTCGCTCTTGCGCCATGGCGCTCAGAGGAGCGCTTGCCCTGGGTTGTCTCGCTTCCTTCCTGTCCCTCTTGGGTGCTAAGCCACGTGGATTAGCGGCGTGGCCTGTGTCGTACCCGGGCGTGCCCGCTTGTGGAGGCCTGCCTCACGCCCACGGGCTGGAGACGCCCACGCCTGGCGGCGGTGTCCCGGTCGGCAGGCCCTGAGGCTTCTTTGCCTAGGGGCTGCCTCGACGTCAGGTTGGGCTTAGCCGAGTGCCTCCCCGTCCCCTGTGTTTCGGCCCAGGCTATCCACCGTTCTATGGTCCGTTCTGTTCTATGGTCCCCTGTTCTGTTTGGGGGTCTTGGTGAGCCAGGGCGCGCTCAGGCGTGTTTTGCGTTCATCAGGTATGTTTGTATGGTAGGTATGGTAACATACCTGCAGGTATGTTTGTCTCCAGTCGTCTCGTCGGACCGGTTTAGCCCGCACGTTTGTCCCAGACGTTGTCGTCTGGCCGGTGTAGCCCGGTACATTTGTTCCCAGACGTTTCGTCCGGCTGGTATAGCCGGCACGTTCGTACCCAGACGTTTTCGTCTGGCCGGTGTAGCCCGGTACGTCAATTCCACCACGTTTCGTTCGAACGCTGTAGCACAGTACTCCCGTGGTTTTTCCTCGGTTGCGTGTACCAGATGTTGGTCTGCCTGGAGTGCCCGGTTATGCGGCCCCTTCCCCATCACAAGTTTTCAGCGTCCAGCCTAGTGCATGGCCGTGCGGTCTGCCGCTTGAGCGACTTCAAATCAAATCAAATAAAATGTTTATTTAGGTAAGGTACATACATACAAGAGATTTTACAAAGAGTGATGGATTTAATTCTAATTATTGC